TGCATTCTTCTTCATTTCCAAAAGTTTCTGTTATCTACTGAATTTTCTTTTGTTGCCTTTTTGCTTTTTGTGGTTAATTGAACATGTGCTTGTACCCAAGCATGCAGATAAAAACAAAATGGTAAAGCATGCTCTCAGTGCAAAGCACCACCTGCAGCATTCAGGATATAATAGCACGCACCTGGAGGATTCATGTTACGTATATCTGTTGTTGTTGACATACTGGACTTGACTTTGATCAATTTATTTCACAGATGTTTTATAATTTCCTTACTGTTATATATATATATATATATCTTTTTATCAAACTTGTCATATGAATTACACCAACAAAAACAGTACCTAAAACCTGACCAAGTTGTATATCAAAATTTACAAATGTTGGACTATCAATATTTTTCTTTTCTTGAAATATGTACCATGTTAAATTTGTGGATATTGACAGGATAAATTCCTCTTGGCAGGTGGCACACATCCCAGAAAACTTTGCAAGCAGGTATCCTGCAATATAAACAACCACAGTTTGCTTGAGTATTTCTTGAAGTTAATGATGTTATGGTCAACAGCTCAATGCCATGCAGTCTTTGTGTTGTGGTTGGACTTTGTTACTGGCAGCTGTGACTTTGATTTGGCTGTCATGCTAGTCAGATCTAGCAGCATAAGTTTAAGATATACCTTGCAGTTTGATCTTTCCCTCTGGACCAAAAGATTTTCAACAACAATTGTGGTATATCAGGATTATCTCAGAATCCAATTTTATTTTTTTATTGATACTTCAGATCATCTAAAATGATAAACATTCATCAAAAAATTCTAGGTGACCACTCTTTTCTCTCATTGAATGTCTTAATTTATAAGAGATTTTGAGAGTACTGCCACTATTGAAAGAATGAAATAATCTGTGAAGTTGCTCTATACTCTTTGCTCTATGTGTTACCTCTTTGGTAAAGTATCCTGGAATAACTAGGTGTGAAATACCTGTAATTACAGAATGACTCAGCACCTGGGCAACATGAGTTACTCACCTGGCAGTGTCATGGAACCATTAGTTAAGGGAGTTTCTTGTCAATAATAATAAAAACTATTTTATATTCCTTTGAAATTTGTTGATCTCCTGTTTGAAAAACATATGTTTTTCAGTAACTGAGGAGAATCCTATACAATAAAAATGCAGCTATCTTCATTCTTGGGGCTCAATGTAATGTTTTTTGGGGGGAGTTACCTTATGAATCTTTTGCAGAAATGAACAGTTGTTTGAGCCTTGGTTACAAATGATAACTGCAACTTTCAAACCACTGTTTCTGAGTCTTTACTTAAACATTTGTGTACAAGTGTATTCAGAGTTTCTGATTGAATGGGGCCAGAGCTTAAGAAATAGGTTATTGGCTGTTTCCATCCAGGGTTTTCAAATCCTTCTATCATATCATGTTGATAAGTGTATATGAGAGATCCTTTTATCATCAAAAACTAAAACACTTATCTTGATCTGTCGTTGCTTCACTTTCATGTGTCATTTAAACTAGGCACAATATCAGTGTGCTCCAAGGTTCTCTACACTATTTTCTTACCAGGCAGTAGAAAACTTTTGCTGAGGAATTTACTCTGATAGTAGATGGACAATAATATCATTCTGTCAGTGTGACTCCATCTGATACTCTTGGTATTGGTATTCAGCTGTTATCTAACAAGCTCAACCATGAAATTCTATAAGATCTTCTATAATGTTGGATTGTTGGCTGTCTTTGTTTCTTTTGTTTTGCTTATTTGACTTTTCCTTCTGGATGGCACTGTTTAGTTGTATTCTCAACCATTGCTCTGGTATTTTCAGCTGAGCTTTGGTTGGAGAAGGACCAGAAATATGATGCTTCTCACTGCAATTTGCTGATATAACTGGAGCTTCTGAAACAATACATTAATACACATTTAAAAAGCTCAGGTATTACTAAGAGGAAAGTCTGCTGATTTTCTAAGTAGTTATTTATAATGGTAGTGTAGGTATCATTAATTTATGTTGAGTATGTATACACTACAATAAAATGTGAGATAAAACAATATTTATAACACTAACTGATTCTATTGTACATGATTAATAAACTATTTTCACCAAATACATGGTTTGGTGCAACAGTAATATATGCAGCTATAGAAATGGCCTTCATATTCTTTAGTTGCAGCTCTTATTTCTTGACAGTTTTTTTGAGTTACTGAAGGAGGTGAATTTGGCACATAAAAAATTGTTGTTCTTCTGTGCTGTGCGATTCATAAAATGCAAAGACTCAAAATGCTCCTCACATCAATTCTTGTTCACTGTTCAGCTTCTCTATTGCCATATGCCTGAAGTTGTCATTTCTGTTTTCATGTATCCATTTTTTTTCAACTAAAAATACCAGTAAATGAGGATAAGTAGTTAATATTTTTTAATATTCTAATATTGAGTCAATTAGAAAACAACTGAGCAAAACGAAAGCTCTACAGCAGGTACATTATCATGCATTAATATTTATCTAAAATAGATTTTATTCTTCATAATAAGGTTTTAGTCAAATAAAAGTCACTATATAAAATAGTCATACCTTAATGTAATGAAACATGCTGCAAGCAGGAGTTCTAATGATATTCAGGTGCGAACTACATGATGTTTTCAAGTTTACTGCCTCCAACTCACCATCACCAAATGGACAAAATAAATGATCAATAAAATGACCAAATATGATTTATACCTTATTTTCCTGAAATACAAATGTATGAGAAATTCTAATTATTAACCCTAATTTTGTCACTACTAAGCAAATTAGGTCTAATTAGTGCTGAATTACTCTCCTCCTTCAATTGAAACTTACTTCTTACAGGTTTGAATAATGTGACCAGACAACCCAATTTCGAGCTGCCTGTCTCCCAGAAACTTTAGGGGATGCAAAAATGTTCCGCATTATCAAAATTACTACCAGTGAGCACTACCGTACTATGTCTGCACATAAGATTTGTCATGTCCTCGTACAATATACTTGATTTATATACATTAGCGTGCAAACTGAATAAAGTGCCCTGCTTTAGACTGCAGAAAATCTGGTCACTTTAGATTTTTATAGAATATTTATGAAATGAAGAAAAGTAATAATTCTTTACTTATACTTTAGGCCAGTGTTCCCAAACTTCTTGTTTGTTGACCACTAGAAGTGTGTGTTTTTGTTTTATATCTTGGCAGAGTGTAGTAGGATCTATACACTATTTTGTTGCTTCATTTTTGTAATTATGCAACGTTTTTACAGTTTGTGAATGCCATTTGAGAACCCTTTATGTGAACCTAAACATAAGTTCATAAACATCACATGGTAATAATGACATTTTTGGATTGTTGGAAAGATTAACAACATAGCTAATTTATGATAGTTTTTCCAGCTATCAGTATTAAAAAAGTAAAACTCTGGTAGTCTTCAAGATGCTGAAGTCTCTAAAAGTTGTTTTCATCTTCATGTTTATGTATATCTATCTGTGTGTGTGTGTGCTAAAAGCTTAATAGGCCATTCTAAAGAGATATCAAATAGTAGCCATTATTATTTCTTGTTCATTTCATAAATGTGTAGAATGTGCTCATATACATCCCTCTTTGAAAAGGAAATTACCAAAAAGTATGCAGTTATTTTTGGTATGAAAGAGACAAAAGTAGTTCACTAACATAAAAGAAAACAAAATTGGTCAAATACCCATAAGAAATTACTACATTCATCTAATTATATTTTTCAACTGAACTGAAAAAAAAAATGGTGATGAAATATAAAAATTAAAAAAAAAAAATTTCAGGTGTAAGCCAGCTTCTTTTCATTTTTGACATTTGCATATATACAAGAATCTTATTGGTAGTCTTTATGGATATTGGGTCATGCATTCAATCAACTTAGTAAAAATTGTAGACTGCCATGTGCCAAGATCATCATATTAATTATATATGAAAATAAAAAATATTCCTTTTCATATAATGGTGTTTTTTAGAATATTTTAAAAGTTTTTTTTGTTTTGAAATAAACGAGGAAATTTGATTTATCTAATTGGTATCCTGTTAAATTGATGACACGTCATACTCAATATTTATTATTATCTCTTTCTTTCTTTCTCACTGACTATGAATGTTAAAAAATTGGCTTTTAATCTGGTAGGTATGAGGGGGACTTACCCAAACATCAACATAAATAAATATAATTTATTCTGGATTTAAAGGAATGACAATTTATGTTAGTTTCAAATCCATTAAAACAAATTTACCAGTCATGAATACTGTATCATCTACTTAAAACTAGAACAGTAGGTTTTGAACAGATATTTTGACCCATGTCACATTGAAGTCCAGTAAATGTAAGAGAATTTTTGACCTGAAATGTAAAGATGGTTTATACTAGTGGTGTGTATCATTATAGTAGTCGATGAGATACATATATAGATATTGATGCTGCAATACGATACGTATCTAGATACAGAAGTTTTATCAACGGTTTGTTACAAAGTTTGACAGTCTTGTCAGTAATTTATTATCTATATTACTAACATTGTCTTATTTAAGTACTTTACAGTGCTTTTTCAAATTCTCAGGCTAATATCTGTCTATCTATTTTGTCATTGTTAATTTGTTATATTATTTTGCATGTAATGTTTTTGATAAAAGAAATGAAAACAACATGTTGTACTCATTATTCATCTTCCTTTATTGAATCATTAATTTTTAGCAAAAATACTTTATTAGGAATTCTGATTTTATCTGTACAAAAGACTTATAATGTTTACTGAAGCTTGCTCAATTTCGTGAAGATACATGAATTGTGTCGTATTGGACGATATATCGATACAATTGTATCACGGCATCATGATATGATACTCGTATCCCTGTATTGCCACAACTTTATTTTATATCCAGAATGTTGCTTCATTCATTTTTTGAAGAGTCTCTTCGTGTGTTTACTTTTTCCTCACCATGTCTTATTACTTTTTTTTAACTGTTTATATTTCAGATCAAGAGACTGGGAGGAAAACAGCCACACTGATTCTCCTTCTAAGCATCCAAGAACTTGAAGAGCCTTTTCAGGAAGAATCACCAGATAATTTCCATCCCTGTTTTTTTTTCTTTTTTTTAGAGTAACATAGTGCACATTTTAATGACGTTTGTACAGTCTGAATTTGAATACTAAAATCACTCCATCTGTCATGTACTGTCTGGCTTTTAACGTAGTGTAATTACACCAAAGAATTGACAATAAATTCCTCTCACTGACATCTTTTGGAGTTAATTTTTGTTGTTGTAAATGTATACACCACACATTATTCCTGGTTCTTCCTGAAAAGGCTTAAAATAAATTATTTGTGGTTAAAGAATTACTATTAATTGTTGTTCTACCACAATTATCACAGATGTGCACATTTTCCATTTTTTATTTTAACTCACATTAACAGGTTGTCTACACTAATGCATAATAGCTGCAGTTGTTTCTAATAGATTTTGTATTACAGCCTGCACAATAGAAAAATAAGCATGTTTTTATACATTATTTTACGTCTATAAACTTTATTAAGGGAATAATCTATCATGGTTTTATCAACACAAAATAGTAGCCTCAATCCCCTCCCTCCCAGAATAAAAAAAAAAAGAGGAAACATACTATAAAGAGTTTAAATTAGCTTAATGTATAAATCAACTTTCTGCTTTTATTCAAATGCAAATGTACCACTTCAATGATTCATATCAGATTTTCAACCTCTAGACAGTGACAACATTATATAAAAACAAATAAATTAACAAGTCCTCAAAAGTTACTTGAGAGATAAAAAGTCACATACGACTTGTACCCACAAGTGATTACATTCTGTAAACACAAAAGTAAAAAACTGGTAGAGCAATAAGTTAAATTTCATTATTTGTTTTTGCAAACAAAGAATTAGAAAAAATTCTTGTGTACTTGAATAAAAAATTGCTATTCTTTGGTAAACAGCTATTGTGAAAGTTAAGGTGCAGAAAAGTACTTAAATACATGGCTAGTGAACTTAATGCAAATTGAAAAACATTTTTTAAAATTATAATTTTTCACTCATTTATTCATCATACCATTTCATATTGCTATGTGTTAGCATTTCTTTCTTTTTTTGTATGCTTTAAAAATACAATATTGTGTTTGTTTCTAATATTATATCACTATTTGTAATTATATTTTAATAGTTTGGCACATAGGTGTCACTTTTAAATCTTTTGATTAGATAATTAGGATTTTTATCAAAAGCAAAACAGAGTAGCACAAACTATAGAGAAATAATTGAAAATAAGTGTCAAATACTAATGCTTCACTGTGGAGGTTGAAATGCTCAATGTGTCAGTCAAGCTTCTGTAATACCCTCAATTACTTCTCTAACTACCCAGAAAAAAAAAATCATTAATGTACCCATCTATGGTACCTGAGCACATGTGCCAAGTTTGTACCTGTTGGTATGAACACAATTTCAAAAATTGTACCCCAGAGATCTTGAGTAACACAAATTCTGATGTCAGATTGGAGTTCAGTGACACTGCAAGCCTACACTTAGAACCCCCATTGTGCCTAGATGACCTGGGGGCATTTAT